TACTACTACTACTACTACTACTACTACTACTACTACTACTACTACTATTACCACCACCACTAATATTTAAATAGTATTCACAATACTTCTACTCCTACTACCACCACCATTAACATTTAAATAGTGTTCACAATACTACTACTACTACTACTACTACTACTACTACTACTATTACTATTACTACTACTACTACTACTACTACTACTACTACTACTACTATTTATATAGTGCTCACAATATGCCAGACACCGTGTTAGGCACTTTACAGTTATTATCTTATTTGATCCTCACAACATCTATGGGAGGTAGGTGCTATGACTGTCCTCATTTTAAAGATAAGGAAACTGAGGCAGACAGAGGTAAAGTGACTTACCCAAGGTCACACCACTAAGTGTCTGAGGCTGCATTTGAACTTAGGTCTTCCTGACTGAGACCAGCATTCCTTAAAAATTTATCTGTTTTAATGTCCAAGATGGTAAATATCCAGAGATAATCCCCACCAGCCAAAGAACTTTGGAGTTCTCCGTCACTTTTAAGCGGCTCAAGGGAGATCCCAAGACGAAGAAGTTTGAAAAGTGGGTGTAGCAGAACCTGGCTAAGTGCTTGCTGAGCGCTGGCCTTCCATCCTCGGGGAATGGCTAGAGATGGGACGAGGGGCTGGAAGGGAATGCTGTGCTGAGTATGGTGGGAAGGTGGGCCGGGTCTAACCAACCAAGGCCTTTCTGTCTTGCCCAAGGGGCAACAGGGGTTTATACAATATGGTGCCATCCTCCCCTGGGTCATATAACTCCCTTCACACACCCTACAGCCCAACCAACTGGGCTACCCATAAGTAGGCCCCGTGCTCACCCTGTTCCCTGTAAAAACCTGGACTCCTGTCTCTCTCCTCACACTGTTAACACTGCAACTTGTCCTTCGAGGCCCATCTCAAACGCTGTTTCCTCGCTGAAGTTTTCATGGTCCCCATCCCATCTCAAAAAGCCCTTGTGTTTTTATAACTTTCTTTAAAGCTATTTATGTAATATTGTGTGTTTTAATTACTAGTCTTCATCTTGGGAGGTGTCATGAATACAGAGCCGAGGCCTCGGGGCAGGAAAATCTGAATTCAAATTCAGCCTTGGACACATACTAGCTCTCTGACTTCCTAGGCAAGTCACTTAGCCAGTTTGCCTCAGTTTCCCCATCTGTAAGATGGGGATCCCAACAGCACCCGCCTCCAAGGGTCGCCATCAGGATCAAATGAAATAAAGCACAGTGCGGGCACACAGCAAGCACTACATAAACGCTAGCTGTTATTTTAATAATAATCATCACTTTTATGTCGCCCCCAGTGCCGAGCACAGGGGCTCACACCAAGCGGGCTCTTAAACACGTATGCACTGAATCCAGTCTGCAGGACAGTGGCCAGTCATACTCACGTCATCTACCTTCGGCTCTGTAACGGGGACCCACTTGTAGATCCGCAGGGAGGTGTCGCCGACAGTCACCCATTTCTTCTCCCTGTGGATGACGGACAAAGAGATCCTGGTCACTTGGGGTGCTCCGGCTGGGCCGGTGACAAGCAGGGCCTTCCTCTCCTGGGGGTGTGGGGTGTGTGTGTGTGTGTGTGTGTGTGTGTGTGTGAGTGTGAGATAGCGAGAAAGAACCTGTGTGGGTGCCCATGGATTGGGGCATGGCAGAGCAAACACGAACCTACCAGAATATCACTGACCTGGGACAACCAATGACTCTGAAGGATTCAGAGGACCGTGGGAGTTCAAAGACACACACTACTACAACAATACCAGCAGAAAGGAAAGAAACACATCTGAGCGCTGAGCAATTAGGACGGCCAAGCTCGGCCTGGGTGAGGACCTGAGAAAATTCACCTCCATCCCTCTAATGCAGAGGCGGGGGGGCCGCCGGTAGGGGATGCTGTGTACACCACTGTCTGAGGTGGAGCCAGTTTTACTAACTCTATCTTTTTAAATCTTTGTTACATGAGGGATGAGTCACTGGGTAGGAAAGGGAGAAAGGACATATCCAGAAATCACAGTGATGTAAAAACCAAAGACATCAATAAAAATTAAAAGGGGAAAAAAAAAAAGGTTAAGCTTCTTGAAAGCAGGGACTTTTTTATTTCTGTAAACATCTAACTGTATTAGGCTGCTCGGTGGTTCAGTGGATAGAGCACTGGGCATGGAGTCTGAAAGATCAGAGTTCAAATCCAGCCTGAGACACTTACTAGATGGGTTACCCTGGATGAGTCCCTTAACTTCTGTTTGCCTCAGTTTCTTCAACTGTAAATTGGGAATAACAATATCATGTATACCTCCTCCCCTCTCCCTTATTGTGAGGATCAATATTTATCAAGTTCTTTTTTTTGTTTTGGGCTAGGCAATTGGGGTTAAGGGACTTGCCTATTTATCGAGCTCTTAACTCAGTGCCTAGCAATAAGCAATCAACAAACATTCGTTAAGCGCCTACTATGTGCCAGGCACTGAGCTAAGAGCTGGGGATACAAAAAGAGGCAAAAAACAGTCCCTGCCCTCAAGGAGCTTACATTCTACTGAGAAGATACAGCAGGGACACAGATAACACATATGCAGTAGGCAGAAAGTGATTTCAAGAAGAAGAAAGAATTAACAGCTTGGAAATTAACAGAGAGGAAGGGAGAGGTAATGACAAAAGACAGCATGTAGCCCCTGAGATAAGGCTTAAAGAATGTTAGAGATTAAGAGGAGAAAGCACTCCTGGCATGACGAACAGCCTAGGCAAAGGCTTGGAGACAGGAGCTGAAAAAATGCGTAAGAGGAACAAAGAGGAGGCTAGTTTGGTTGGAAAAGGAAATCAGACTGGCGTGATGGGTTAGGACCAGCCTGTGAAACGGTTAAGATGGGGGCAGGGAGACGAGTTTGTGTCTTATCCTAAAGGCACGGGGAAACAACACGGTCAGATCTGAGCTTCAGAAATACTGCAGCTCCCAGGGCAGACGAAAGGCTGGGATGCAAATGAAGGGCTATTTTATTGTAATACTGTCAAATTTTTCAGTGCTCTGATCACTTTTGCTGATTTTTTTTCCTCTTCTTTCCCTTAAAAGGATTCTTTGTTAGATGATGGGCATCTGGCACATGCATGTGCAGCCCCTGTCAGCTTGCTTCGATAGTGTCTCCTCCCCCCGTAGAGTTATAAGGGACAGATGGCTCGCTGAGAAATGTAGGTGATGAAAACAATTAATAGAACTCTATTAAAATTAACTGGAGGCTCCGTAATTTAATCCTAAAGACCCGGTGGGTCAAAGAACAAATCAGTAAACAATAGAAAACTGCGTCAGATAAAATGTCCACATACCAAACTTTGAGGACGGAGCCGAAGGGGGAAGGATACAGGGGGACATTTGGGCTAGGGAGAAAACAAAAATTAGGGCGGCAAGCAGGCGCCATAGTGCGTAAAGCCCCGGGCCTGAAGTGTGGAAGACTCATCTTCCTGAGTAGCTGTGTGACCCTGGACAAGTCACTTAACCCTGGTGTGCCTCAGTTCCCTCATCTGTAAAATGAGCTGGAGAGGGAAATGGCAAATGACTCCAGTCTCTTTGCCAAGAAGACCCGAAACTGGGTTACAAAGAGTTGGATATGATTGAAACAACTGAACAAAAAAATGAAAATTAAGAATAAAATTTTATTTGTTTAAAAGGTATTATGATAGTCGAGAGGATGAAGGCAGAAATGGGAGAGTGAGAATCATGGATTTAAAGCTGGAAGGGGCTTTGGGGGCGGAGCCAAGATGGCGGAGGAATGGGAGCATTCCAGCCCGACTCCCAATATCCTCTTCTTTGGGTTATCTAGTCCAACTCCAATGGCCCAGAGAGGTTGAAGTGATTTGCCCCCCTATCATATAAGTAGTTAATAACAGAGCCTCTGGGGCAGTGGGGGAAGTGTGCTGGACTTGGGGACGCAGGAGGACTGAAAGTCAAATCTAGCCGCAGACACTGCTAGTTGTGTGAGCCTGAGCAAGTCACTTAACCTCTCTCTGCCTCAGTTTTCCTCATCTGCAAAATGGGAATGGCACCCACCTTCTAGGATTGTTGTGAGGATAAAATGAGTTTTGTAAAGCACTTTGTAAGCCTTCACACACTATATAAATGTCAGCTACCATTATTACCCCAACCTGAGTGATCTGCCCACTGCACCATGACCCATGACTGTGGGGAAAAGGCCATCCCCCTAGCAGCAGAGAGCCAGGGTCCTTTATCTAGGCCAGCAGAAGGCAGAAGGCCCTGGGCACCATGCCCATAGCGGCACTTGGGCAGAAACGGCCCTTAACCAGTCCCAGCTCGACCCATTTTCATTTGTCATTTGGGTAGGAACCTTGCCAAAGGCGATTCACCCACAGCACATCTCTAACAGCTGAGGATTCCTGCTCAGGCTCTTCTGGGTAGGAAGGGCTTGGGAGCTGCTGTGGAGACAGTAAACCCCACCAGAAGGCACCGGGGAACAGAGAGAGGGAAGGGGGGGGGAGAGATAAAGAGAGAGAGAGAAAGCGAAAGAGAAGGACAGAGAGGGAGGGAGGGGGAAAAGAAGAAAGGGAGACAGAAAAAAGAGAGAAGAGAAAGAGAGGGGAAGGAAGAAAGAAATGGGAAAGAGGAGAGAGAGGTAAGGAAAAAGACAGAGGGGGCAGAAGGAGTGAGGAAGGGAAAGAGAACAGGGGAGAGAGAGAGAAAGGGAAAGAAGGGCAGAGAGGAAGGGAGGGGGAAAAGAGGAAAGGGAGACAGAAAAAAGAGAGAAGAGAAAGAGAGGGGAAGGAAGAAAGAAATGGGAAAGAGGAAAGAGAGGTAAGGAAAAAGACAGAGGGGTCAGAAGGAGTGAGGAGGGGAAAGAGAACAGGGGAGGAGGGAGAGAGAGAGAGAGAGAAAGGGAGGGAGGGAGGGGGAGAGAGACAGACAGAGAGAGGCAGAGAGCGAGAATTCGGAGCTACGCCTGGCTGCACCCCAGGCCGGCTTGGGGTTGACGCTGATGCGTGCCGAAAGGCACCTCGTTGCAGGCCTCTTGGCTCAAGGGCAGGGGCCGCAGATGGGTAAGAGGAGCCGGACTGGAAAGCAACATGCTAATGGCTCCACTCCCCCCACCCCCGGCACGTCTTCACTATATATTATTCATGCCCGTCTCCCGGGTCACACGTGCACAGATAACACACGGCTCCAAGACCTAGCAGAAGGTTGGCTAGCTCCTTGAGGAAGCAGCCGCGGAGAGACAGGGCTGTGCCGACGACAGGAACACAGGCCCCTCTCTGTGCGGCGCCAACTCAATCTATTGTTGGCAGAGGCTGGTATTGGAAAGCATGCTGTCCTGGTCATCGGATGGCTCGGGTTAAAATTCTGGCTTGGTGGCCTCTGACAAGTCACTTAAGCTCTGTGAGCCTCAGTTTCCTCATCTGTAAAATAAGGGGGTTGGGGCAGACGGCCTCTGGGGTCCCTTCCAGCTTGACAGCCATGATTCTATGATCCCACAAAATGGGGATAACAGCCCCTCCCTGGAAGGGTTTGTTGTGAGGATCTGTGAAGCGCTTGGCACAGTGCCTGGCACACAGCGGGCATTTAATCAACGCTTACTCCTTTCCTCTATTCCCTTCCCTGCTAGAAAGACAGGCCACTTGAACCCAAACACTTAATCCTTTAGGGCCCAAAACCTTCCATAGGCCCTAAAACTGCTCTATTAATTTTTTTTTTTTTGGCTAAGCAATGGGGTTAAGTGACTTGCCCAGGGTCACACACCTAATAAGTGTCTGAGGCCAGATTTGAACTCAGGTCCTCCTGACTCCAGGGACGGTGCTCTATCCACTGCACCACCTAGCTGCCTCTGCTCCCTTAACACTTGCAGATGAGGACCAGGACTGGATTACAGTGCTTTAATCAATCAATGAATCAGCCAATCACCATCAAAGGTACCTACAGCCCGACAGGCTCAGGGATAATCCAGGGCATACAAAGAAGGGCAGAGGCAGTCCCTGTCCTCAAGAAGATGACATTCTAATGAGGGAGACAACAAGGTGAAATGTTAATTATATAGGAGATAGGTGACTCGGTGGATAGAGGGCCAAGCCTGGAGTCTGGAGGACCTGAATTCAAATCCAGCCTCAGACACTTACTAGCTGGGTTTCCCTGGGCAAGTCACTTCACCCTGCCGGCCTCAGTTTCCTCACCTGTAAAATGGCCTGGAGAAGGCAATGGCAAACCACTCCAGTATCTCTGCCAAGAAAACCTCAAATTGGGTTATGGAGAGTGGGACACAACTGAACCACAATGCCCTAGGGGTGATGAGAAAGGCCTCCAGTAGAGGGGAGGATCTGGGCTAAGGCTTGGAGGAAGTTGGGAGACTTTCCGTGCATTTGTGCCTCACAACAGGGCATTTACTATAACTGCTATTGTTATGCCCATTTCAGAGATGAGGAAAGCAAGGCCACAGCAAATGACAGATTCGAACCCAGGTCTTTCCAGACCCCGAGTGCAGCAAAGATGAAGATGAAGGGCAAACTCACTGCAAAGAGATGGCAGAAGATCGATGAACCCAGCCCAAGGAAGACCCCTTCCCCCTCTGTCCAAATTTTAAACCAATTCAACAAGCATTTATTAAGTGCCTACTATATGCCAGGCACTATGCTAAGCGCTTTACAAATATCATCTCATTGGATTCTCACAACCACCCCAAGACGCAGGTGCTATTATTATCATCAACCCCATTTTACAGCTGAGGAAACTGAGGTAAACAGAGGTTAGGTGACTTGCTCAGGGTCACACAGCTAGTAAGTGGATTTGAACTCAGGTCTTTCTGACTCCAGGCTTGGTGCTCTATCCACTGGATATATGATTTCAATGATATAGGGAATGCCTGGGAAGAAGGCCCTCTTCTTCTACCCACGAAGGCTCGACTCTTCTAAGTAGTACAAATTCCGAGAGAGTTGCCTAGTGTAGCAGTATCAAACTCAAACAGAAACGAATCCCAGCTAGCCACATGTTGACTTAGAAAACCACACATTGACATTATCTGGGCTGTGTTGTATTTTTGTTTATTTTGTTAAACATTTCCCAGTTGCATTTTAATCTGGTTTGGGCCATACTCAGTGGTGGGACCTGGGGCACTGAGGGGTCATGACTTGTCCAGGGTCACTCAGCCCGGATTGGTCAGAGGCAGCCTTTGAAACCAGGTTTTCCTGGCTCTCTAACCACCAGGCCATGATGCTTATCTTAGACATCCCTCGTAACAAAAAACTTCCAACGAGTACTAAGATAGGGAAAATCGGCTTGAGCTCAATTGTAAAGCTGGGGAGGGATTGCCTCTGGTCCTAGAGGGGATAGGAAGGCTCTGAAGTAACATGAAAGGGGGGGATCTGGGGTCTGGCACGATCAGGTCGGCCTGGAACTTGACAGCCGTCCAATGAGGAAGATGCTGGGATAGCCGGCGATGAGCGGAGAGAGGAGCCAGATTCAGGAGACGCTGGGACGGCCTGTGCCAGACGCCCAGACGGTGATGCCCCTCCCATTACAAAAATCCTGAGAGCGGTGGGCGGCCCGCGCCCGCTGTAAACAGGATCATGGGACCCGTATCTAAGAGCTAGAAGGGCCCTCAAAGGTCACTGCATCCAAACCCTTCATTTTACAGAGAAGGAAACTGAGGACCAGAGAGGCGAGGTAGTTTGTGCAGAGGTCATAAGCAGCCGAGCTGGCATTTGAACCCGGGCCCGTCTACTCAAAATCCAGCCCCATTTCTGCTGCCCTGTCTAGTTTTGGTTTGTGGGTGTACGAAGTCCAAATGACAGAGTTCTTAAAGATTAAAAAAACCAAGACTGGTTGACTTAATTAACTCTAGCTGTTATTCAAAACATGTTTTTAAAACAACAACAACTTAAATCCCCCCTAAAAACAATTTTTGATGCTGGAAGTGAGAGTGATAGATCTCTCCCTCCCCCTTTCCCTCTCTTCCTCCTCCCTCCATCTTTCCCTTTCTTTCTGCCTCCTTTCTTTCTCTCTCTTCTCCCTCTCCCCCTTTTCTTCTCTTCCTCCTCTCTCCACCTCTCCCTCTTTCCCTCTTCTTCCTCTTTCCATCTCTCCCTTTCCTTCTCTTCCTCCTCCCTCCATCTCTCCCTTTCTCTGCCTCCTCTCCTCCCTCCCTCTCCCCCCTTTCCTTCTCTCTCTTTCCCTCTCTTCCTCCTCTCTTCACTTCTCCCTTTCTCTTTGCCTCCTCTCTCTCTCTTTCTCTCCCTCTCCCACATATACACATAATCACAGATACTCTTTTCTAAGCTGTTTCAGGGACAGGAACTAAAACAGAGCCCCCCAGCCCCTAAACTCCCTCCTATTCTCTGGGCCTTGGCTCAGACCAATTCCAGCCTTTTCCTCCCCGTCTTTACGCAGTACCTTACTCTAGCATGAAAAGCCCTGGCTCGGTGGGAGTGTGCATCCAGCTAAGCAGACCCCGGGAGAAAAGGACCCGTAGGCTCCAGGCGATTAGGACCTGGATAAAAATCTTGGTCACCTCGTTCCTAGGGCTGATGTCCCTCCCTCTGGCCACTGACCTCCAAATGTTCAACTATTCTGGCCTCTGATTCCCACCCAAACATCTGGAGCCCGCATTTCCAGCCTGCCCCACTGCTCAAACATTTCTTAAGAAAAGGACATGCAAGTTCAAAGCCCCTGCCAGGCCTCCAGAAGCCTGCCCGGCTGCCCACCACTGCCTCCTGTAGGCACCTGGCCACAATATAATAAACGGGATCAATTGTCACCGGGCACCCAGCAGGGAATCTCAGTTACCAAGGGCTCCCCTTTCCTTCCCCAGCATAAACATCAGCCTCATTATTTCATCTCAATCAAGCCCAAAGCTTTAGTTCTGGGCAAGTGCCTGGGCCTCTCTGGACCTCAGTTTCCTCAAATCCAAAATGAGAGGGCTTTCCAGCTCTTAACCCATCATCTCATGATGCCACCTTTGTTTTTCTTCCCTTTCAGACAACCACAAAGAGAGCCGGCTAAAAAGACACACATTTATATGATTTATACAATTTATTTATTTATACAATTCTCCAAGGTCACAGGGATCATCTGACTTTGAGTTTGAAAGGCACCTTAAAAAGTCCAGTTATATCACTGGATCCAGAGGCAGTTGGGGGCACAAGGGAAAAACTTGAGTTCAAATCTTGCCGGAGACATTACCTCAGTTTCCTCAACTGTAAAATGGTGTACTAAGCACATCTACCTCCGAGGGGGGCTATGAGGACAAACTGGGGCAATATTTGTAAAATGCTTCGCAAACCTGAAAACCCCGCATAAATGCTAGTTATTTGACCCAGAGAAGGAAGTAACTTGGTTGAGGTGACTCGGGCAGAGCCCAGACCTGTCCAGCTCCACATTTCAAGGAAGTTCCCACTATGGCCACAACGCCCCCCTGGGTTAATAATGTGCTTTTTTTTTTCCTTTTTGGTGAGGCAATAGGGTTAAGTGACTTGCCCAGGGTCACATAGGTAGTAAGTGTCAAGCCGCATTTGAACTCAGGTCCTCCTGACTCCAAGGCCAGAGCTCTATCCACTGTGTCACCTAGCTGCCCCAATAATGCGCTTTCTTCACAAACAACTCTGCTTCTTGAGTAGCATATTGTTGCCCTCATTTTACAAAGGAGGAAACTGAGGCAGGCACATTCAGACACACAAAGTGACCTGCCTTGGGTCACAAAGCCAGAAAGTATCTGGCCCTGGAAGAGAACCTGGACCTACCTCCTGGGCCCAAACCCAAACCTGACCTACCCTACCAGAGCAAGTGAAATCTAATGAATCCAGAGAGCATTTACCAATTTTTAAAATAATTTTTTATTTATACCTTTTTTTAAACATGCTTTCCCCGTATCCTTCCCTCCTCCTTCCAGAGAGCTATCCCATATTTTTAAAAAGTATTTTTATAAAGACAAAAAGAAAAAGAGGAAAATAATCAGCTACATGATCAATATATCAAAAAAATCTGAAAATCTGTACAATATAATGTAGTAACACTTGGGGTTGTCCAACCTCTGCAAAGGGGTGGGGTTCCTCATCTCTCTTCTTTGGGGCCAGGCTTATTCTTTCT